CTCACCTGCCGCTGGCCGCGACCAACTCCGGCGCCTCTGCTTCTACCTCCGCCGCCAGTAGCCACCTAGCGCCACCACCTCCCCCATGACAACAGACCCACCCCGTTTCATAGTTCCGATCTGCCCATTGGCTAGCGGGGCGGCAGCTCTCCCCTCTGATTGGTGCGACTCACCTGCCCGTCAAGCCGTTTGACCGCCCCTTTTCCTGGACCCGGTCTTCGCCCCCGCCCGGACCTGAAGCGTCCTAGAACAAGCTGTAGTTGTAATTGGGTGCTGATTGGGTAGTTCGACGGCTTGATAGGCTGCCGAAAGTGCCTGTTAAGTCAATTGGCAAAGGTTGCTTCAAGTGTGTGCACGGTTTGGTTGCGCGGTAGGAACCGAGCTGGGGCAGATACTCAGCTCTGAGGTTACCGGGGCAGGGTTAACTCTTTGTTGTAGAGTTCATTCTATAAACTCCTCCCATACTCAGCTTCCTTCCTATAGGGAGAAGCTTCTCTGCTGGTTTACTTGTACGGGTCGCAGTTTCAAAGCACCCACAGCACAGGTTGTGTAATAAATGTTTCTTAACCCTTGGGAGAAAGGCACTGCACAGATTTTCAGCATTTCTCCTTTCCATGGCCCAATTTCCTTTAAGTTCTTTGCTGGAGTCTCCATGCTAAAAATGCAACTGTTTATTCAGCAGCTAGTCGACTTCGGTTGCAATTATAAACATGGCTAATAAGTGGAAGTGGCATGTTGAGAATTGTCCAGGTCCTGTCTGGCTCACACTAAGTAGCCAGGCAGTCATCGGCAAGCGGGCAGCCTAAGTGGGCCACGTTTTATCCTTGTGATGCTCTGGACATGAGACTCCAGCCCTCCCAACCTCCATAAACTTGGCTTTTACCTTCAGCAGTTCTGAAAGAGCCATACTAGCCAGCTGTGTCAGATACTAAAAAATCTTGTCTTTTTCGAAGGCTCCCCTCCTCCCTCCCTCCTAGCAGTCTAAACCAGGGCCATCGAAAGAATTGCAATTCTTTTCTCACATGGGCACAATGCACAAGAATACATTATGGCATTTTTTTAATTCACTTGAGTGCAAGCCACAATCGACATTTTTGAGAAATGCGGTGTTGCTATAAAAACTCGTGTGCTCCTAGAAATCTGTTCATCGTTAGGTTTTGCTTGGCTTTTTCATTCTTACTTTTCCTGTTCCTGAATAACAACATGATGGCCTGCTTACTGTTTGCTTTTCCCAAACCAGTAAGTGTTCCTTCACCACTTTTCTACCTACAACACACAAGGCCATGGCCATGCAACATATACTCAGGGACAGTTTGGAAGACCCTCAAGGAGTCCCCTCATAGGCATGACTTTATGGTTGGGAACTTCCTGGAAAATCAAGAATCTGGACTTTAGAACTGGGCTTTGCCCTTTCTTCTAACTCTGTTCCCTGTCTCTTCGATGAACTCTCTTGTCCTTTGCATAGCAAGCAACCAGAAGCCTAAAACTGTATGCATGGTTCATTACCCACAGAAAAAATTGTTTTCTAGTCTGTCTTTTAATCATGTGTAGGTAAACTACATACCTCTATCACCAATGGAAATTATTCCTCCTATAACTATACATAACAAGGTGTCTTTTCCTAGTTATTTTTTAAATCATTTTATTGGAGGCTCATACAACTCTTATCACAATCCATACATACATCAGTCGTATAAAGCACATTTGTATACTCATTACCCTCATCATTCTCAAAACACTAGCTCTCCACATAAGCCCCCGGCATCAGCTCCTCATTTTTCCCCATCCCTCCCTGCTCCCCCCTCCCTCATGAACCCTTGATAATTTATAAATTATTTTGTCATATCATACACTGTCCGACGTCTCCCTTCACCCACTTTTCTGTTGTCCATCCCCCAGAGAGGAGGTTATATGTAGATTCCTGTAATTGGTTCCCCCTTTCTACCCCACCCTCTGTCTACCCTCCCAGTATCACCACTCACACCATGGTCCTGTAGGGATCATCCTCCTTGGATTCCCTGTGTTTCCAGTTCCTATCTGTACCAGTGTACATCCTCTGGTCTAGCCAGATTTGTAAGGTAGAATTGGGATCATGATAGTGGGGAGGGGGGGTTGTGAAGGAAGCATTTAGGAACTAGAGGAAAGTTGTATGTTTCATCGTTGCTACACTGCACTCTGACTGGCTTGTCTCCTCCCTGCGACCCTCCTAGTTATTTTTCTGGAATTTTCCTCCTCCTCCTCTCATCTTTACCTTCCAATTTAGAAATAACCTCTCATTCAATTCAGTGACTCATAAAGAGTCTGTAAAAAGAAAGTAGAAAAGCCAAAATAACTTCAGAGATCCTTCAGTTAAAGGAAAGACCACGATAAGATAGTATCTTGTATAAGGCAAGTCTGAGCTAACATTCCATAGCAGATGAAGTAACATGTAAATGTGAAGATGCTCTAATGAGACGGAGGCAGCAGTATGTCCTTTTACACAGCCTTTTAATACATCACCAGCAGCTTTCTTCTCTCCAGTCTTGGCAGTGTGCCGCACCTACCAATTTTAGAGCAAGTTAGAAGGCAATTAATGTCCTGGCAGATAGGAAACAGTAACGTCATAGGAGGGCATGGCCATTATTATGGTACTTTGAGTAATAATGGCTCTTGCAGAGCCATAGTGACTAGGTGCCATAGAGAACATAGAATTAGGACAAGCTCACTAAGAAGACTTGCCATCTAAGTTCAGGACCTCGACCAAATTACTATCACAGAACCAGGTGGAAAATGGCCACAAAGGTCAGCTAGTCCTATCCCATACACTTAAAAGAAAGGAAAGCATTGGCAAGTGCTTTTGCTAATACATGCACACACACGCTTACCACTCCCATTCCTTATGAGAAATCAGTTAAGAAAATACATTTAAAAAAAAAAAGAAAATACATTTAAAATAAACATCCGGGTGGTCATTACAACCCATAAAGGAGGAAAATCTTAAAGAAAAACTTCAGAAATATGTTTTGAACCAACAGAAGGCTATTGTGTTATTATTATTTGTGTCCTGTGTTTGGATTTTGCATGCACAAAGTAACCTTATAACTGAAAAACTCCACCCAGAGTCTCTTGTCTGTGTTCTGGGCTTCTCCTCTGTCCATGGCCCCCTCGAGCTCTGGAGTCTGGGAGTCTGCAGCTTTGTGTTGTGTGGCTGGCCGTGGAGGTGGTACAGATGGTATCTGCTCAGAGCCACTTGAGCAAGACTAGGATGGCAGGTATATTCAGGGCAAAAATAGCCTCTTTCAATCCCAATTAAGTGGGATATGGAGGACTCAGACTGACATCCCAATATCTGAGGAATGAAGTGTATACCTTGAATGTTATATTAGTGCTGCTTGTTCTGCATTTCATAATGTCGCTTTTCAAGAGAGTAGATGCAAGTCTCCTTTCATTTCTATTTTAGTCCAGGGAGACAATCTCACTGGGAACAGCTTTTTTTTTTCCCTTCTTTAAGGGTTTGTCCCCCACTTCCACTCCCCACCCCCTGGGATTAGGGAAACAAATAACTGGTTGGGAGAAGAAAATTACTGATAGCAGACAGTGGCTGGAGCTACCTGCCACTAGCAGTTGGAGGCAAGCCAAGACATTTGATAACAGGTGGTTCCCTGAGTTAGGGATTCCTGAAATGTAGGCTAACAGGGATGGAAGAATTAGAGAGAAGGGAGGAGAGTGAGATAAAAAGTGAAGAGAGCGAAGGCTAGGCAGAAAGTCAAGAAGTCACAATCAGAGTGCTGAGCCGGCTTGGAGTCCTGCCCCCCTGGCGGCGGACTTTACACCGAGTTGCATAATTGCACCTGCAAAGTGCAGGCCCTGACACTGGTTGAAAGAGATGGTGTGCCAGGCCTCCAACCCGAGGGACTCTTGCTCTCCTGCCACCTGGAAAGTGTCTCTGATCTAGAAGCGTGCTATGCTGGCACTAGGACAAACTGAGAAGGAAGGGCAGATCCATGTAGCCAAAGAGTATGGATCATTTGATTCCAAAAAGGTGACCACTGGCATGGAGCTCTGCGTCAGACAACATGAGGTGATCTGGGAGAAGATGTCTTTACCTCCAGCTTGGGAGCGTCCAATATACAGAAGTGCCAAATTGCTGCTCTCCACATTGGTACAAAGTTCAAGGTTGTGCTCCTGAAATGGAAGAAATTTTAAAAAAAAAAAAAAAAGGTGGAAGGGAGTGTCCTTTTGCGTTGAACCCTTTGCTTTCCAATTTCAGGGCTCATGTGATTTTCAGTAAGTCTGCTATACCTTTTCCTTACTCCATGTGTATATTTTCATCCTCAAAAGTGTGTGGGTGGGTGTGGTGTGTCATCCTCACTCACCTACCCACCTTGTATATTATAGGTAAGATGGCTTGAGTGCTTGTAAAATGAGTGGGCAGCAGCTCTTAGCTCAGCCATTGTGTTATTGAATGGAGCCCCTAGTTACTATCACCACATCTATGGGTGGGTCAACCATTCTTCTGCAGTGGGGAGTAAACCACTCAAAGCCCAGCACCATTTAAAGTTTTATCTATCCCTGTTTTACACACACAAAAGCATTTCCTGGAAACATGGCTATCCTCCAAGGATTTCAGAGAGTTGAATGCCTTCTAGAATTCCAGTATCTTAACCACGTAGAGCCTCAGAAGAAAATAGACTTGAACTCAGACTCTTGAACCTATTGTGTTCAGATCCTAGTCCTGTGCTTTCCTAACTGTACAGCCTTGGGAAAAGTTGATTCATCTTCCTAAGCTTCATTTTCTTCATCTAAGAAAAAAAAGGGAAATACATCCTTTGTGATATAGCAAATTACCTCCAAAGTCAGTAGCTTGAAAACACATTTGTTATTGCAGTTTCTGTGGGTCAGAAACTGGAGTAGCTTAGCTGAGTCTTTTTGCTCTAGATCTCTCTGAAGTCATCTCAAGACTCAACTGGAATGAATGTGCTTCCTAGCTCACTCATGTGATGGTTGGTAGGATTCAGTTCCTCATAGACTTTAGAGTAAGGCTTTAGTTCCTCGTGCATTATTGGCCTTGT